GTTATTCTCTGTGGCTTACATAGGTGGGTTTGTCAATGCGTCCTCCTATACAATTTCCTTCTTTTCTTTATCCTTCTGTGGACCAAACAGGGTCAATCATTTTTTCTGTGATTTTGCTCCTTTAGTGAAACTTTCTTGTTATAATGTCAGTATCTCTGTAGTGGTCTCATCATTTTGTGCTGGTTCCATCATTATGGTTACAGTGTTTGTCATAGCAATCTCCTATATCTACATCCTCATCACCATCCTGAATATGCGCTCTATTGAGGGCCGCCGCAAAGCCTTCTCCACCTGCACCTCCCACCTCACTGCGGTCACTCTGTTCTATGGGACCATTACATTCATTTATGTGATGCCCAAGTCCAACTACTCTACTGACCAGAACAAGGTGGTGTCTGTATTCTACATGGTGGTGATCCCCATGTTGAACCCCCTCATCTACAGTCTCAGGAATAATGAGATTAAGGGGGCTCTCAAGAGAGAGCTTGGTAGAAAAATATTTTCTTAATGAGACTTCTTACGTTATAGAATTTGTTTCAGTAACATACCATTAGTGTAATATTAAAAGAAATTTAGTTCTCATGGTCAAAATATATCTGCATATTATTACCTAATATGGGACTTTGTGATAAATGTGAGGGTAGATTTTCAGATAATAAATCGTAAGTTAACTCAAATGAAACAAAATTTAAAATTAAGAAGTACAAATTGGTTCACATAAAGAACTCTTAATCTGCTAAAAATCCTTTTTTATTTTATTCATATCTTAAAAACAATTTTATCTCATAAAACAAGGTCTCTGTACCTCTAAACCCTATGATTGTGTTCATTTTCAATAGTAGCTTCGATTAAGATGAGCCAGAAGACCCTAGTTTGTCTTGACTGGGTTTATTCTGAGGGAAAATTAAAGTGGAACCAGATAGTAAAATTTCTTGAAACTATCTGTTTGTAGAAGTGTTCTCTTTTGGCGATGGTCTCTGTGGAGTCATGAAATTGCCTAGTGTTCCTTGGTTCTGATTTTGGCTTTGGATATCAGGGGTCTCCAGAGTCTGAAAAGATGAGGCCTCCGTGACTAACCTGTGAATTGCTCAGTCAGATCAGAAGAGATGACTTCCTCTGAGGGAATGAGCAGTGTTACCAAACTCATCCTGGAGTGAGCAAAGCAAAAGCATGTAAGGATTTCCAGGAGACTTGAGCAAGCTGGATGACATGGAGGAGTGAGGAACAAACTCAGAGAGTGATTTGTTTATGATCAGACCCACCTCCTGCTCAGGAAATTCCAATTAACTAGAGTATTTCCCAGCTCAAATAGTGACTGCCAGTCTGGAGAGGTTAAATTAGCCTTTGTAATAGCGTCCAAGTGTGGCACTGTAGGATAAGCACTCAAACATGAGGTCGATTTCAACCAAAAGGTCAACAGTTCAAACTCATCTGCTGCTCCTCAGAAACCCTATACAGGGTTGATTCAAAAGCAATTAACAACATGTGGATTGATACTTGTTGAAAATAGCATCTACCATGTCTCCCATAGTGAGCTCTGGTAGCAGAGTGGTTATGCATCGTACTGCTAATCTCAAGGTCAGCAGTTCGAAACTACCAGCAGTTCCGTGGTAGAAAGGTGAGGCTTTCTGCTCCCGTAAAGATTTACAGCCTTGGAAACCTGTGCAGGATCGCTATGGGTCAGAACCAACTCGACACAGTTTAACAACAACAACAATGCCTCCCATAGCACTTTCTACTTATCTGGGTCGGTATATCATTGCAATGTCTACCCAGAATTCATCCACCATACTCTTAGTTGTGGGGTTTATTAAGGAAGTTAACAGGTTACAGTGAAGGATTAGAAATGCTCAGGTCACAGTTCTTTCTGTCAGGACAGCCTCTTCCCAGTCATGTCAGCTGACAGGCCTCTCTCTAGGCCTTGGCATCTCAACCATGGGTCCATGGCCTCATTCCTTTTCCAGAAATGCCACAAAGATCTTTTAGGACTGCTAGTGGTTACAAATCGGGCTGTGAACCTTAAGGTCAGCAGTTCGAAACTACCAGCCGCTCCGCGGGAGAAAGATGAGGCTTTCTACTCCCATAAGGATTTACACCCTCGGAAACCCTGTACAGGGTCGCTATGGGTCGGAACCGACTCGACAGCACTTAACAACAACAATAAATACTTAAAGACTTTTCACTTTGCTATAAACTCCAACTCGAAGGGAAAGGACTATCTCTCCATGAGTCAGTTGGCCTAGCTCCAGAGTTAAGTGCCTGGAAGCACCGGACTCCACAAATGAGCCTCCTGCCGAAAGTCACTCAGCTTTCATGCTCTATGACTAGGAAGTCTGCTTCTCTGTCACATGCTCTTGTTCTGTGTTCTGTTCTGCACTTTTGGCACTCCTCTGAGGCCACACTGCTGTCTCCTGGATCAAGGAGTTCCAACACACAGGGAAACTGAGTTCTGAAGGACATGCTCTACCCCTGACCCTTCTTCCTCGAGGATAGTGAGACTTCCACACTCCTAACCCACTCCCCACTGACCAGCATCCTACTTCTGAGATGGCTTATTTTATACTAGGCAGGATGGCAAAATTGACTAATTATAATTAATCCCATTAACAACCATTCAAAGTTGAATCATATAATCCATCATGGTCTTCTCCCACTTTCTCTTACCCAGACTCATCAGGAAAAAACTGTTGGGAGTTTACAAAGACTTTGTCAAGAAGAGTCACTTAATAATTCAGTACATTTACTTCTATTTCCTTTCCCCACTTAATGTTCCAGACACCAATTGCATCTATATTGTAGTCAACAGAATTGTAGGACATATCATAATCAGGGTTCTCTAGAGAAACAGAAGCAGTAAGATCTTTCTATCAGATCTAATTAGCTGTCTATCTGGAGGTTTCAGGAAGTTCATGGAAAACTTCCATTAATTCCATCAATATAGGAAGCTTTTGAAACACCTACTCGGAGATAGATAGATTAGATTAGATTAGTTACAGATGTAGATAGGTTTGAAAGTGTTGATTTAAATGATTCCAGGAGCCAGAAAGTCTAAAATGTAGAGGTTAGCAAAATCCTTGACATTCCAGCACAGCAATTTTAACGCTGTTTTGATCCAGAATCTTTCTTCTTCAGGAAACGTCAGTGTTTGTATTTAAAGGCTTCAACTGATTGGATGAGGACCACCTACATTTTGGATTATAATTTTTTAGATTAAGGTGAACTGATTTAAATTCTAATCACATTTAAATATCCTCATTGCTACATCAAGACTAGATTTGAACCAAATCGCTGACCATCATAGCCTAGCCTGATTAACACATATAATGAACCATTACAGGGCATTAATCGCTTAAGTCATTCACTTAAAAAATTTAGTGGAGTACTTAAAAATTCAAGTACTGTCTAGATCAGTGGAAATATATATGAAAAAAATGTATGCATTCATGGAATTTATCTTCTAGCACAGGAGACAGACAACATTATTAGCAATCAAGTGATCATTATGGGTTGAATTGTGTACCCCTAAAATAGCTATTGAGTCTTGGTTTGGTGCTGTGAGTTAATGACCTGGACTGAAAAGTCAGTTTAAATTGCAAGATCAATGGTTGAAGTTCACCAACTGCTTCTATACAGGGTCACTATGGATGAGACTGGATTCTACTGCACTTAACAAAATATGTATTGGAATCCTAATCTCTGTTCCAGTGGATGTAATTCTGTTTGGAATTAGGATTCTCTTTGTTATATTAATGAGGCCAGACCAATGTTTCAAACATTATCACTTCTGAGTTATAAAAGGAGCTGAGTCATGAAGACACCGGGAGAAGACAGACTATATGATGATGAAGACAGAGAAAGATGCTGACTCTACAAAACCAGCAAGTCCAAGAATCTCCATCAACTAGAAACTGAAATAGATAAAACAGAAATTCCCTCTAGAGCCACATTAGGATATCTTGCCTCCTGAATGTAAGAAAATAAATTTCTGTTTGCAAGACCACCCACTTGTGGTATTTCATGTTACAACAGTACTTGGTAATTAAGACAGACCTCCAGTAAAGTGTTGAATAGCAGTAGTGAGCGTCAGCTTCCTTGCTAGTTCCCCAATCTAAGGAGCTGAAAGTTTATCATAGGTGTTTTTTCCAGGTTGCTTCTTTTCCTTTCTTCCCCTTTCTTGCTTTCTTTTGCATTATGCAAATATATTTAAGTTCAATTTTAATTTAGCTACTAGCATTATAGGAGTCCTGTTGTGACATTATAAGATAAGCACTCGACCACAAGGTCAATGTGAACAAGTTTGGCAGTTCAATCTCACCAGTTGCTGCTTAGAAACCTTATACAGGGTCTTTTTAAGTTGGGACCTACTTGATGGCACTTAACAACAGCAATTAGTGTCTTAGCCCTACCAACTTAGGATTCTTTTTAGTTGTTCCTCTCAGAATTGAAATACATGTATGTAAGTAACTTTGCATAGTTCCAAAGTTAATATATTACCAATTTACATAAAATATAGAGACCTTGCAGCTGTCTTTGCTGATTTTTACTTTCATCAGTCTTTATGCTACAGTTGTTACATGTGCTAATCTATGCAGCTCTCACAAGACAGTGCTATCATTTTTGCTTTATTCAATTATATATATTTAAGAGTTCACAGTAGTTCTATAGATTTTACATTAGCCCAGCTATTTACCATTTATAATTTTCTTTACTTAGTTACAAATATAGGTTTCTAGTCGTTGTCCTAATGCTGAGCAACATATATTTTGCCTTACAGATATGTTTTGCTTTGATATCTGTTTCAGAGCAATAATTGGCCATTCAGATCACAAATGCCCAATAAAGAGATCACCCTGATCCCCTAGGCCATATTATTGTTATGGCCAAACTTAATGCCCTGTCAGAGGCCCCACCTGTAGTAGATAACAGCTTCAGGGCCTCACCCATGGCTGTCACTGACTATGCAAAAAAGAACTCTTGTAAACTCTTACAGACCTTATCATCTCCCATAAGCATTTATTAACTATGGCAACATCACCCAATCTTCTACCTTGATTTGTGCTTGTTGTTTGCTTTTAAGATTGTTGTTTTTGTTGTTAAGTGCCTTCAAGAGGGTTCTGACCTATAGCAATCCTATATAGGGTTTCCAATCCTATATAGAGTTTCCCTCATAGGCTGATGAGCTTGAACTACTGACCTCGCAGTTCAAACTGACTTTGCAGTGCAGTGCATTAACCCACAGAGCCACACCAGGACTCTGCTTTTGGATTAATCACTTGTAAATTTACATGTACACACTGTAATAGTTGATATAGAGGCTCTACTTTTCAGTGTTTTTTCAGACACCCTGAATCATCTCCTCTTCTGAGCTGATCTGAGCAGCCAGTCAGTTGGAAAAGGAGTTTCCTTGGGCTGTAGCCTGTATTCATGATATAAAGGAATGTTTTGGCAAAGTTCACTCTCTCCTGCATTCTTTTCTTCATCCCCTGTCCTCTGGCTCTTGGTTTGTGA